CTGTAATCATAGAGTCCGATAGTTTGGAGGAGATGGACTCAGCGTCTGACTGGTCGTCCGACATGCCAGGCGCATCGCCGCCATCTTGTCTTTCTTTCCCCCGGTCTTTTTTTCGGGTTTTCACCGCGTCCATGATCTTCATCTGTTTGGGGGGTGACATAGTCGTGGGATACCACCTTGAGAGTGTGGGTAGTTGAAAAAGTTGCAGTTACTTGCTGTCGTTGTCGCTAACAGGCTGGAGTTGTAGCGGAGCTCTCAAGCCATGCGTCCGTACTCACCGGAAGTCGGACACGCCCCCCCTAGAGGTGATTTTTAAAGAACTCTGACACAGCATACATTAGAAAGAACGGAATGGAAAAAATCCTAGCAACAAGGCATTTTTAGCATGTTCAAGCTACAAAATACCAGATTAATGGTGTATCATAGTGTACAAAGCAAATTTATGTGACTCAAGAAATAACTAACAGGGTTATATTTACTGAAGATACAATTCAAGTTGAGCTCGATTCAAATAGATTTCAAATAGAATTTTAAATTTAAGGCCAGATTAGCTGAATGGAAGCATAGCTGTTTCCAGTTGAACTATTTTGACTTTAAATTTGAAATTCACTTTGAAAGCACCTCACCTTGAATTCTTGCTTTAGTGAATAACACTATATATAGCCATTGAATCATGCTTGGTTTTCCAGTAGCACTTCCCTGTTAATGGTATGTATATATATATATATATATATATATATATATATATTGCTCAAATAGACACATGTCCTCTCCACAGGTTCAATGGAGTCAATGCGCAATCTCAAAAATAGGATTCCACAAAAATCAGATTAAAAAAAAATGTTGTATAGCACAAGCAGTGATCTTCTGTAGAAGAGAATTGTTGCTACCAAAAATTAAAGAAACTTTTTATGTGACATAAAAAGTTTGTTGAAAAAATAATTGGCCTAACACAATATCAAATCGGGAAACAAATCCAGTAAAGCGCCAGCTCGGGTCAAAACTTCAAAAATGCCCGATTAAAAACACTTTTTATACCACCTTTGTTTATTTTGTTTTATTTTTCTATTGTTTACTGATTGATGGTTTTAAAGATGCTCAATAAAAGTGATGTTTTTTCAGACATTGTTTATGAAGTTTTGACCCCATTTTGGGCTTTTCTTTGTTTGTAACTAATGCCCTGCTGTATATTTTATTTGTTCACAGAATACATCATACTAATTCGACATTGATGTGTGGAATCAGATGTTTTAGTGTGATTATGTCCATTTATATAACACATACTGGGTTATTCAAAAAGTGAGAATTGTTGGGAACTCAAAGTGAGCTTCAAAATCTAGGCAAGCATAGCTGAATTGGAATAAATCTCCAAGTCAATTCTGCTTTCAGTTTGACAAATGTTGCCTTAAATTTGAAATTCAGTTTCAGTTCTGGTCAGTCTTAACTTTACTGAATATCTGTACATTTCTGATGGCATTTTGTGAATATATATTCCTAAAAATACCAACAAACTCATTACAAGTATTTATAAACATAATAGTATCCCTTTTTTATTTCTTCCTTAGTAACGCATAATGTATTTGTTTTTGTAAACTAATACCCAGTAACTGTAATACTGTAAAATAAATTGTACTTATATACTGTGTCATTTTACATAATTTAATATTTTTTGTTAACCCCTTAAGGACACATGACGGAAATATTCAGTTTTATTCCAGAAGTTGTGTCCTTAAGGGGCTAAAGGAGAATATACAAACATATAGATAGATAGATAGATTGATAGATAGACTATAAGCTTGTTTGAGCAGGGTCCTCATCAACCTATGTTGGCGCTGTATAAATACCAATAATAATAATAATAGATGGATTGTAAATTCAGACATAGTAGGCTATGTGTAAAAACTGCCTGTTTTTTTGGCAAACCATTTTCAAGTAAATTGAAAAAAATGGTGGATCCTCACAACCTAATCCCACCAATTTCAGGTGGAGAGATCTGGCCTATCGGGTAATAAATATGTATTTGACAAATAAGACTGAATGTAGAAATCAGCACATCTTTATCCTGCAACTGGGTGCCTCCATCTTAGCTCTCTGTGAGTGATTGTTATAAGCTATAGGTCCTTCGCACCTGGCAGTCAGCATACAGATAAGAGGAGAAATGAAATAATGTTTCTATTTCTCCTCCTCATTTGCAATGTATGCCCTGGCTGTGCCTTGTCCAAATTAGGTTATGAAGTAACTTGCTAAATCTTTCATGTTAATTTAAATCACATGGAAAAAAAGTTAACACATTTTCTAGGTGATTTTCAATGTTTTATTCAATGGTATGAATTCCAGAGAAATAATTGTTCCCCTTTAACCCTGAATGTGACTCTATATATGTAATTATTTTCTTCTACCTAAGTGTCAGCTATACCTGCAATAAATGTTAGGTTTATTCTTATTAAGGAAACACTAGGTGGTGATGGGAAAAATTATATAAATAATACTTATACCAGTGTTTTAATTATATCTAAGCATAATGATTACTGACTAAAGCTCCACCACTAATTGTGTGTTATGTAATCGTTTTTGCAAGCTGCAATAATTATTACAATGTGCTAATACAAAAAAAATAAAAAAATACTGTTATAAAACGTAGTGCAGGAAATGTCTTCAGAACTAAGTATGAAGTTAGTTAGCTTTATTTTAGGCAGAAATAGCTGAACTCGCAAAATTCTCTTGGCTATTATGGTCTAAAATTTGAAATTTACTTTGAATTCCTCACTATAGTAAATAACATAGTAAGAAATCATTAAACCAGGAGCTCTATTGCCAAGATAGGGAATGAATTGAATTGATTGATTATAACTGAAAGCACTATATCCAAAGAAAATTGCAATAGAGTGCAACGAACGTGCATTGGTAATCCACTCATGGCTACATGAGACCATTAAACTGATTTAAGTGTGAACAGCTCTGGTTTGCACATGAGCAAAAGGCTAACCCATTATTCATAACCAGTAATGCATTTTGAATCACTGGTAAGCCAATGTCAAAAGCATCATTCATCACCAGCAATGCATTCTGAATCACTGAAGGGCCCCACTCTCGTACTCCTCCAATAATAATTTCAATCCGGCAAATGCTGGAGTCTTCTTATTGAATTCGATGCCAAGAGTTGATGCATGAAGACACAGAATGTTGAACGAATCATGAGAAAAATAAGCTTTGCATAATGTAAGAATATAAATATATTATTAATTATTCAAAATGGCAGTGAAAACGACTCAGTTCAGTTGGCAGAGACAACTAGGTTCCGTACAATGTTCTTCTTGAAATCTGGCAACGTTAAACACATCAGTAATGGTTGCTTCGGTGAATCCAATATAAAAATATCATGAAGGCCCTCTTTAAACTCACAATTAATTTATTGCTGAATACCAACATAGGGATTCCAAGAGGACAATCTTAAAGAAAATCTGTGTTAGCAAAGGTCTGGTCTTCAATTCTGCATGCCTTTGCCATTTTTTGTTATGTTACTAACCGTTACTGAACTCAGAATCACACAGTTAACCAGAAATTTAGTAAACTAAATATATTTTACATTTCACATATATAACATCGGCTGTCAGTTTCTATATATACTAGAGAACTGCATTTGTCTTTCTTTTTTTTTTAAAGTAATCTGTTTTATTTAATTTAATCACAACCTAACATGAAAAGGAAAATGCACATTTAAAGCATTCAATGTGATCAGGCAATTGTAGATGATAGAAGCAATTTGTAATCGTTGATTTATTAAAGCTAGGCGTCTGTAATAATGCATTTTCACAGAATATATGCGCTGTGCCACAGTGGGGCCGTTTTAATAAATCCAGAATTCGCTAACTTATTCAAAAGTGGTAATATATCAGAGCTTAAAACCTACTCACAGACCAAGCTAATGCTGACGACGGTATGCTTAAAAGGTTTTATTTATTTAAAAATACTTCCATCTTTTTAGAGAACTTTACGTAGTAAATACTAGTAGAACGATTGTATTGCTGACTTATGTTGGCTCACTTAAAGGAACATCTGCCTAATGGAGAGATATTTTTTTCTCACAAATGCTAAAAATAAACTATATCAGAAATTTCACTGAAATTGAATACTATGTTAAATAATGAATGAAAACTGCCTTTACATATTAGTTATTTTTTATTTTATTTACTCATGATAAACCAGAAGCCATTTTATTGCAGAGATAACACAACGAAATTCAAAAGTATAGGTTTTCTTAATGGGAATTATCTTCATAGTGCATGAAAAAGATGAGTGGTGGATAGACAGAAAAGATTGGCTCCACCAAATCAGTTTAGCCAAAAAAAAAAAAAAAAGCTGTAATTATGTCTGCCAAATTTCGTCAATGCTGGAGCTTTGGTTTGGCCAAATATTGTCCATGCAAATGATTCAAGAAAATCTATCCAGATAAACAAAAAGGGAACAAAAAATGAATCCTGTAACTATACTGCAAAATGTATACATATCATTTTTTTAACCCGTTTAGTTAAAGTGATTCTGATATTTTACCATTCAAATGGGCCACCAAATCAAAAAGCCTATTGTGCCATTGTCCGTGTCGTTTTTTTTTTCGTCATACGTCAATTGGGTGCTTCAGCGTTACGAAATTCACACAAACAAGAGATCAGACAAAATGCTGACGAATTGGAATTCGTTTGAAACCAAATATACAAGTCTAGTGTAAAATTCACCCATGAAGTAGGATAACACTCTATTATGAACATACTTTAAAAACAAATAGTGACTTGCTAAGAACTTGCCAATCCTTTCTTTAAACGTAATATTAATTTTAAATCATAATTTGTTAACACATAGATGACTGTTCAAATTATCTTTTTACCTTCATTTAAAATATCAAAAGCTTTATTTCATAAAAAATTACAATTATATATATATATATATATATATTGAGAGAGAGAGAGAGAATGAAGAGGTGCACTCACAGGTCTTCTTCCAAACGTGAAGATAATTCAGTTATTTCAAGGTTGTCCCAACGTTTCGACCACTAAGGGTCTTTTTCAAGGACATTGAAAAAGACCCTTAGGGGTCGAAATGTTGGGACAACCTTGAAACAACTGAATAAACGTCACGTTTGGAAGAAGACCTGTGAGTGCACCTCTTAATTCTCTTTTTAGATATTTTATACGCTGGTAGCACCAAGGCAAAAAAACTTAAGGGTGAATGCCATGATACATTGGAAATATATATATATAATCCAAATTCCAAATGCTGCTCAAGCTGGTTGCTTTATAAATAAATGATAATTATGCAAGGCATATGACATCATCAGTCAGGTTTTCTTTTAGATTGGAGAGAGCGCCAAACTAAAAATATAGAATTATGTTGCACATTAAATCAGTTAGTCTAAAGTAAAATGAGATGTTGAGTTAAATGCTACATTACATTAAATTTAAATGTAATTTCTGTTAAAAACATAATTCATAATTTTATTTCTGTTAGTTAATTTCCACTATCATTTCATTTCTCTTGCATTCCTGCTATCCATTAGTGTTATAACCTTAATTAAAGGTATTGCTTAAGTTAAGTCTAATCCAAATTTACTTTTTTTTTGTGATTAAGAGTAATGGCAGGTTTAATGCCAATAAAACAAGTAATCATTTTCTATCAGTCTTTCTGGGCAGTTTGAACCCCCAGAAGGTGTGAGAGTTTGTTAAATTACTGTGCGAGACACACCACGTGCATTTCTCATCTTGAAAATTGAGAAGTCCTCCTTGAGCACAGAAACGAAAGAATTTGTGTTTCCACAACTATCCCAGACTTCCTACCTTGACATGTAAATGAGCACAGACTGGTATCATGTTTCAAATTTCATACTGCACTTTTGCAATGGACACCATTCTAAAACATATACCAAAACATGGGTTATGATCCAAAAGGATCAGTGACCAGAAATAAGCCATGGACTGCAGTTTTGACTTTCAAGGTCACATCAGCATAGCGCTGGTTCTGGTCTAGTCTATCTAGAAGTCTATTTAAGAGCATGTTGGTGAGATAGCTCAGTGGGCTTCTACTTTCTGAGGTAGATAAAATGAGTACCATTAAATTGGGTAATAGTAACAACCCCTGGATGTTTGGCTACAGTAACATCCCCAGGACATACTTTAAAACCAGAGTAATCTGAATGTACATTTCCTGTTTAAATACTTTTATTATTATTATATAGCTCGATACCAAAAATATTGTGGTGAGACCAAACACAATAAAAGTCCCCACAGTATAAATAGAAAAATTACTGTTGTGCGTCTCCTGAACATCTGAAGTTGGATTTCGAGAAGTCCTCCTTGGGAACAAAAACATGGAAATCATGTTTCTACAACATTCCCAGAGTTCTCTGCTTGACATGCAAATTCATAACGTCATTTTGCCTTCCCACAGATACACTTAGCAATAGACACAGCTTATATCAAACCAAAATATGGGCTATGATCCAAAAGGAACAAAGACCAGAAAAAAGCAATGGACTGCATTTTCGACCTTGAGGGTCACATCTCATTAGACTGTAAGTGTTATGTGGCTACAAGTATTATCTGTTTTGCTTCACAAAATATCACACTCTTCCATGTTGATATACAGTATATTATATCTTATGCTACCAAAGCCCAACATGATATATGCAGAAAATCTTTTATATCACGTAATGTGTATGTACAGAGCATGATAATTGGCAGACCTGCAAATTATTGAGGGGAAAAAGATGGCAAGGACACATCCACATGTAAGCATCATTCATGGGGAAAGCTAAGAAAGAATTTAAATGAGTTGAGCATTGAGGGCCCATTTACTGCTACCGTTGGCAGAAAAAAAAAATTGACATTTTAATTACTGAGAGAGATCTGGTATATATTGCTGCTAGCTACGTAATCTTACCTGATTGATAAGAGTTTAAATTTGCTGCATTCTAGCACATGACAAAAAGATACTAAATTCCATTTAAAATGCCTAATTCCCCCACGATTTTTATGGGACAATGAAAATATGATATAATTATATAATATAATAATTTTATATGGTTGCTACAAACAGACTTCATTCTGATGCAATACTCCAGCAGATACAATAAACACTTTGTTTGGTTTTTCAGAAGCTCTAATAAAAGAATATTCCAAGCACTGTAAGAGAAACTGCAAGAACCATAAGCACTACAGCACACTGTAGTGGTTATGGTGCCAGGAGTGGCTAGGCACCCTCTCAGGGTAAGTAGTCAAGCTATTTAAGAATGTTTTGACATTTTACATGGGGTCTGCGCAGGAATTAGCTCATTGGCTGAGAGCACTCAGCTGATGCTTTCAGCCAATGAGCTGGTTCTATACGTGAGGACATAGCGCAGTATAGCTCCCTCCAGAAGCTCCCTCCAGTTCCAGAGGACAAGGCAATGAGCAGACCCCCATTCTTAATCGGTTTGATTACTTAACTTGGAAGGGTTAGTGCCAGGACACTTCATAACCACAACAGAGGACTTAGAACATATTTACACATTCTGTGTCCTTGCTCTATTATTCTACAGTTCTACCAGCTAACCTTCAAGGACGTTATGTAATATGGATCAGTGATGCTTATGACCTTGGGGAATCACTGAGATTATTATCAGAATGTGTCATCTCATACAACATGTTTTATTGATACTCTAACAGACACTCTAACAAATACCTCTAATTAAACTAGTAAACACTAATGGTAATATATATCCGTCCATACATTAGGGAGCCATTAAGATTGCTATCATAATATATTTTACTAGACAATATGTCTGTTGTTTCTTTAAACATATTCCTCCATTTATCAAGAAGCCCCAATATTCAATGAATATTATGGGGTCTTGTGGAATTCTGCTCAATATTTTTAAAGATGGGGCAAACTACAGATGTGCTCAGGATATTTACTTATTCCCTATCCCACATATTGCAATCCGTTTCTCAATTCACCACAACGTATTGCTTAGTGAATGGACCCCTTATTGTAATAAATCAGGGAAGATCATCTGCCAAACTGGGCACATTTTAGTGCATAGAACTTCCACCCCCAATAACAGTCAGATAATTGTGTCTGGTGGGAATCCTCTGTGAAAAGGAAAACCTCCAGACATTCGGGGGATGGTGCTCAGTTGCAGAAGTGTCAGGTTCAATTTCAGGTTTGGTATAAGCAGCTGCCTTCAGTGATTTTGATCCGGGCAAATCCACACAGATCAGTGTAAACATAAATCAACTACTAAGAACCACTATTAACATTCTATCTGAATGGCTGGAAGACTCATGATAAGCACAACAAAACATGCTGGACCACACACATATAGATAGATACATATGAAATAGGAAGATGCACGCACCTAAACGTGCATACATTAAAAACATGCTACTGGGACCTATTTATACAATATACAGAATCCAGCGCAATCACCGAAGTATAAACTAGCTCCATAGCTCACTAAATGTAAATGTTATTAAAAAATACCTGGCTTGGTAAATATAATAGGGACGAATGGACTGACAGACAGATAGATAGATTTACCTAAACATGCGTTTATTTCAAGGGTGCTTCTGGAGCCAATTAATTTCTCATACAAGTGGTTATATGTAAAAGTTTTGCATGCTAAAAGGTAATCTGAAGTACAAAACTTGGAGCAATCACAGTGGAAACATGAGGAACCAGGAGATATATTCCATATGTGACTTCACCCGTTCACATCTTGGGACTACTTTTCATAACTCTACACTTTTATACATAACTTCCGCAGAATTCAGTAAATTGTAAACTTTTAAAAAAACACTTGACTTGGGTAAATATAATGAGTATAGCTAGATAGACCACTATTTCCTAATCCAAAGGTACTCATTATGTCAATCTGAGAAGACATCAGGCTGAGCGGAACCTGGTGGGATACATGATCTTCTCCTAAGCAATCCGGGATTTCAGTTAGGCTCCACTTCAACATGTATACTGCATTAATAGTTTTACATCTTCTATTATTTGTTTGCCTGCATTTTGTTCTTTGCCATCATTTTCAAATGAGCTTGGGTAACATTTAATTATATTTATAATAGATAATCTAACAAAATCCAATCTCACGTGGTATATGGCTTTTGGAATTATAGTTCATTTACATTAAACATTACTCTCCGAACCAGGCACCTACAGAATTAATTTGAGATTCTTTGAACCTACTAATTAAATGAGCAACCTAAGGACCTTTTGAAAGTAGCTAGACTCACTACTCTCAGCGAGTCAGATGTGCCGCTCTCTAAAAACAAATATGTGGAGTTCTTGTATCACTAATACAATAGAATACAAAAAAAACTGCTAAACTAAGGAAGGCCTGCACATAACATATCTAAATAAATTGATATTTAATCAAATTATCCAATTGGTGGCTTGTAAAAAAAAAAACACAACAAAGTCTGTATAGATGTCAAAAGAACAGCAAATATGCCTGCAAATATTTTTAAATAATTCCCTAATTTGTGTGTGACTGGTATCTAAAATTAGTTTTGTGTGGGATACCCTACCATGTGGCCTATAGGTAAGCATAAAAGGCAAAGTTGGGGAAATAAGAAAAGGAACCGTAAATATATATTTCCTTAAAATGGCCAGGCATAATGATATACATCCAAAGAAGTGAAGATAAAGTAAGCTGTGTTTAGGCACACCACAATCCAAACATATAGTTAAGGTCAGTGTCTGGCAGGACAGAAAAGATGAACCATGATAAACTGGCCAAGGTCAAACCAAAAATCAAACATGAAATTGTCCAAAATGCCCTCAATTTCTGGGTCAGGTATGGTTAACAAACTCAGGACGATGTAGGTATTTAAATAATGAATCCCTCAAACTTTGAAAACACATATACATAAGGCCAAATAACACAACCAAATGTGCAAATAACTTAACCAAATGCGAAACAAGATATAACTGGCTGACACTCAGAAATCATTTGCTATAACTATTGTGAATCATAAACCATTGTGAAATCTGGGTGCAGAGCATCCAAAGAGAAAAATGGGTCAGCAAATGGATACAGCATTGTGGGTGGAGATCTTGCAATGGTAGCATGTAGTCTGTTATTG